ATGGATTATATATATGTGAGAAGTAGATAACGTTAGACCTGTCACCTGCAATTACCCAATTTAATTAAATCCGTTCATTTGTTATGTATACAGGATACTAAATAAGTAAATAGAAATTTATAATATTTGCTCTTAAATATAGGTTAAGAGTGAAATTATTATATATTTTTTATTATTAATTTATATAAAAAAAATAAAAACTAACTTAAGTTTTATTAACTGTGTAATTAAATTGTTTTAGGTGACATTAATACTGAAAATAAAATTTACTTTAAGTAAAATTTTATATAAATTAATGATAAAAATATGCAATAAATGCACTTTTAACTCTTACTCTTGTAGCACAATTAGTTCATGTAAAACAAAAGAACCATTCACAATTACTGCCATAGATATCGAAATAAAATTATAAACGAATCATTTTTCATAAAAAATCAACTGTGCCAAGTACCAACCATCTAAGTAATATCTTCTCTTTTTAAAGTTAGAAATGCTACCTAAAGTCTTTAGATGTAGGAAGGAGAATGAGAAAACGATATTAAAAAAAAAAAAAAAGGAAAAGGAAAATGAGAAGAAAGGAATTTCATGTCTAGGAATTTTTTTTTTTTTAATTATGAACCATATAATGAGAGGTAATTTATTATGCACAATAAAAAAATTTTTTTATGTCATATGATTCAAATTTAAAATTTTTTATTTTTACTAATTTATTTAAGTAATCGTGGTTTTAGTAACAGTATAAAGGACGTTGAATGAGAAAATAATTATTTTATTTAACGAATGGATGAATAATTCATACAATAATTTTGCGAAACATTGAATATCATCATTAAACAAAAATAAAACTTATTTTCAGTTGTGTCATATAAGGAATCGGATGCATGAGTCTAATCCAAACTGAAGCACGTGCTGGGCCTGCAACAACGAGACCAAAAAAAGAAGGGTCAGCACAAGCGTAATATTACTTGGGCCATATAATGGCCCATTTGGCCAACTAAGATCTAAATAATCTGAGCCCAAGAAATCAAGACACCATTTCAAGATGTCCACCTCTTTAAACAATCTACTAGTTTTAACACCATGCAAATCAAAAACCTCAACGTAGGAAAAGGTGTTTGCATCATATATGGCAGTACTTTTTGTCATCCTTTCCAACCCCATATTTGAAAAAATGGAGACTTGATAAAATTCGGTAGGAAGAAAATATAATGAAGAAAATCAGCAGGCAAAGCGAACATGTTAGTCCCATATGAGAAGAGAGGGTAATCTCCCGGTTGTGATAATGGGGTGCCACTTTGTCGAATTGCCCACAATGATGTGTTAATTATTATTGAGATGTCAGTGTAACTTGCAAATATTTTCCTTTCGCACACCTACCTCAAACTCCATAACAGATATATTTTCCGGCACTTCATTTGAAACTTCTGCTTCTAACTCCCAATGATATGGGGATGCTGGGAAGCACAATGGTAGTTGCAAAATTTTCGTTCTTTAGTTTAAAGCAGCATCCCCAAACGGAGTTACAAACATGGGGTATCATTTGGTATCACTGAAAAATATATATATATATATATATATATATATAACTGAACTAAAAATTGAAATAGAAATCATCAAGACCCAAAATCAAAGATAAAAAGTAAAAACCTCGAAATTCAATTTATACATTAAAAAACTTTTCAATTCAAACAAAAATATGATAGTTATAAAGGTGTAGAATTCATTTTTTATAAAGGTGTAGAATACTTAATTGAATTACAAAGTATAGACGTTATAAACCATGAAAAGGACAAAAAAACAATTTTAAAAATCATCATAATTAATACCATATGTACCAGAAAGCATGAAATTATTAATCTAAAATTCGTAATTTAGTACAACTATCTTAGTACTCATTTTATTTAATTTTCACTGATACTTCCGATAATAATAGTAATTTCACTCTGATAATATATGAAATAACTATTTTTCTAATATCTTGCTATAATGTATTCATCACTGAAATACTTTGAAATCTATAAGTATACCCAAAAAAAAAAAAAAAAGAAGAAAAGAACTACAATAACCAGTATATAATATAGAAAATAGAGCACAATATAGAAAGATACAAAGTTTAATAGTATAATAATAATGTAAGGCCGTCTGCAAACATCTTGCCAGGAAACATCTTTTATGGTTTCTGAAGATTGTGGCAAAAAGTTTTTTCTAATAATCAAAACAAATATGTTTTCATTTTTTTAAATAAAAAGGAAAAAACAAGACATTTTTCGAAATCAAAGTTAAAAACAAAAGTAAAACACTGGAAACCCAAGAACCAAAGTAATGACAAACAAATATCAAAAACAGAAAATACTACATCGTTTTTAAAATTTTTAATCCAAAAAAAAATGTGATACCAAATAGATCTCAAGTTTCAAATGAGACTAGAAGAATATACCTGCCATGTGGTTGAAGGTAGGTTATTTGCCAAGGAAAAACACTGCAATCCCCAACAGGTAGTAGATCCCAAGATCACTAGCAAGGAAATCAACCCATACTCCTTTAACGGAAGCTAACTAGTCACCAAACCTGAAGACTAGTCCACTACATTTCAACAACCGAATTTCATGTAGTCTACTTTTCCCAAATATGAGATAACAAAGAAAAACATGTACACTTCCACCATCTATAAACATCCTTCTCACAATGAAGTTTCCAATCCACATTGTGCTTACCAGTAGGTTATTATAAAGAGATAAGATCCCTTATGTGGTTACATAATCTCTTGAACTCTGATTGTTAAATCTTAGTTAACCATATACCGACATTGTTTACCATGCATGCTGAGACCCTGATTGTTAAATCTTAGTTATCTATATAGTGAAATTATTGGCCATGCGTGCTCAGACACTGATTGTTTTTTGATCAGCGCTCAGACTGATTATTGAGTCTTAGTTAAACAGTAACCAGATAGTGATATTATTTCCTCCGCATGCTGAGACTTGACTTTGTTCTGTGTTATAGAGTGTGTGTCTGTGAAGTAACATGACTAGTTTAAAGTTAAATACAAAAAGAAAAATCCCAATCCACTGCAGGTCTAATGATACAATTTCATAATAAATGAAAATAAAAACACAACAATCAAAAGAAAAAAGGAGAAGGAGATCTAAACACTAACGCTTTGCACAAAAAGACCTACTCATCTCTGTATTGCACAATAAACCAGACAGAAAAGTGAGTTGCACAATAAACCAAATCAATGAAACTCATTAACAATCAAATCAAAACAGAAAGAAATAATTAGTAGGCTCAGTGTTTGATTCTTAACCCCAGCAAGCTTTTTTTGGTCAATGAGAAAAGGCAAGCAACTCCTGTATCTACTGCATTGTAAAAAAAAAAAAGCAATAGACCACAATTCAAAAACATAAGAATATACCATCGTTCTCAAATTATCTTGAATATCACAATCAACCTACAATAAATTTTAAATTGCAACAAACTTCCTTTTGACTGGCCAAAATGAATTTTTAAATGAATCTTCCAAAGCAAACCAAAATAGTTTTCATTCAAACTAAATCTATTAGTAACAAACCTGTGAATCAAGCTTATTCCATTAAATGAACTTGAGTATGACAATGGACTAAATCAGATCTTGTGGAAGACAGCCACAGGGTTTTAGGACCCACCAATCAGATCCTTAGAACAAAAACAAACAAGCAATAAAACAAGTCAGAGGATACTAACATCAAAACCAACTAGGAAAAGAGTACTGAGGACATTGCAGTGAGCAGACAGAAACAAGTCTGTCATACAGATTGCAGGACATGGCAGAGGACAGACTCAAATGTATCCAATAAAAATTTTTGCTGCCCCGATGGTGCTCTCTACAAACTAGTTATTCTGCATTGCATGGTGAATAGACACTCATATGGAAAATTGAAGAAAAAAACAGAGAGTATGGAATCGTTAAGTAACGCAAACTAGGAATTCATCCCCAAAGAAAATAAGTTACCATCATATAGAAATTCGCATTAATTAGTCAGAATCACAAAAACCCTAATACTTTCCCGTCCACTGACTATGTAAAAGACCAGTAACTGGTATAAAACGGGAAAAAAATAGCAGGCATCCTGCAGAAATATCAAACTCCTAAACACATAAACCCTAACTGAAGATTTGATCACCAAATTAATGCCCAAAAGCGATGACAAACAGAATTCAGAAAGCAATCATGAAATAAGAAACAGAAAATTTTACGCCAAATCGGAGCGCCGAGAGAGAAAGGGTTGAGGCGAGAAGATCGGAGAGAGAGAGCCGGCAGTTTTCGCCATTAGAGGTTGCAGAGAAGGAGAGGGAGAACTGCCGAAGGCAGAGAGAACGGAGTTTTCTGACCGTTGGAGGTTGGATTTTGTTTTTGGGAGAAAGAAAAATAAATGGAATATTTTGATTTTCGATTTCTTGGTTTTTAAACGACACCGGCTGACTTACAGCTTAAGTCCTCCAACTTAGAAGGTTATAACTTTTAAACTCCTGAAGTAAAAAAGTGACCAATAAGTCCTATATGTCAGAGGTGTTTGTTTGGATATTTTGCAAATAGTTATTAACTATTGCAGTTCTAATGAAATAGATTAAATACTTTAAATTATAAACAAAAATTATTGTCAAACGTCAAATTTTAGTTGTTAACTATCAATTATATCTAAAAAATATAATTAATCAAAACATCATAATTATATAATTTGACTTCATCTACAATTGAAAGTGTTTGATTTGAAAATAAACTTTCATTTGATGCCTTCATATGAAAAATGACTCTTGAACCAAATCAAATATTGAACTTTCTACATGTGTAATTTATAACTATAAGTGGTTCAATTGAAATGCAATCTTAGTTTTCTCTCTTAATATTATATATAGTTTCTAATCAATTCCATCATTTAATGGATTCTAGCCCATCTTACTATAAAAATATTTATTTATACATTCATTTTCTAAGCTAAGGACTGATAACAAATACACATGCATTCTAATTAAAATGAAATACTATATACACATGCATTCTAACAAATACAAATCTAGCTAGTATTGTTATGTGACCCAAGAATGAAGAATTTAATGGTATTAATCTCAAAAGTCAAAACCCTAAAATGATACTAGTAATTTTCAAACTTCTAGAAATTTTGACGAACTCCAAATCAATTTTAGAAAATTTGACGAACTCCAAATCAATTAAGTTCAACATATAAAAAGTTAAAACCAAAGTTGAGGACATATATAATTCGGTTGCAAGACCACAGGTCACAAACGCAAAGCATAACAGGCAGAAACCTAACTAATTTCTCATAAAATGCCATCTATCTATAACCCTCCTTACACCCTCCATTTCCCTCACAAACTACCTCGCAGAAAACACTTCTGATAGCTTAAAGTAAAGCTTAGAGTCTTCCATGGGAGAGCATCTCCAACAAATCCATATCCTTCTTCTCTCCTTCCATCAAGCTCTCCATTTCCACCATGCTGTTGCTGCTCACCTCATCAAGCATCGATGCAAAGCTGGAGTAACTTTCTCCAAACACATTCATCTCAAAAGAGAAATCAATAGGCTCAGATTCACGAGCTTGCCACTCTGCTGTTGGGAACTCATTCACACTTGGCATTGGATTCTCCTTCTGCACAATATTTTTGCCCTTGTCACCCTTCTTGGTTGAAGTTGCACGAGTAGTGACACTCTTAATGTACTTCTGCAGGAGAGAGTCCTGAGGGTTGGAGTGCTTGCTCTTGCGACGAGAATGCTGGCGTCTCATGGTAGCGTTCCAATGGTTTTTTATGGTGTTCTCAGTACGTCCAGGTAGCCTCCTGGCTATCTCTACCCATCTGTTTCCTATTTCTTTATGTGCCTGAATCAGTATTTTGTCTTCTTCCTCACTCCATGAATTCTTCTGCAAATATGAAAAGTATTATTATCAAAGGCATTTAATTGATAGAGAACAAAAACTGCTGGAGTAAAATCTTTTTTTTATTGAGAGAATTAATCATTAATCACCTTTTTTAGTATAATAAGGTACGGGAGATTATTAACTTAAAATGGAAATGTTAGAGTATTAGCTTCTAAAAAAAATACTAAAGTAATATATATACATATATGTACATATGTTTCATTTCATATAATATACCCATAATATTAGAGGAAAATAATAGGATTAAAAAAAGGAGGAAACAAATTAACCTTGATATCAGGCTTCAAATGGTTGTGCCATCTCTCTCGACACTGCTTCCCCACTCTCCCATTCAACATCTTTGCAATTTGAGACCATTTTTTTGTTCCATACCTCGCTACCAATTGCTCCAATTGTCTATAACACAATTAATTCACACCTTCGATTCCATATGTTTTACTAAAAAAAAATGCTCATAAAAAAAAAAAAAAACTCAAGAAAATTTAGCCAATTAAGAAAACCCTAGGAAGGGAGAAAAAATACTAATAATTACATTTCAAAATTTTCTCAAAAAAAAAAAATATTTTTCTTAATTGGTACTTACATGTCCTCTTGAGCACTCCATTGGCCTTTGATTATAATGGCCTGCTTGGGAGCTTCACTCTCCCTTTTTTCCAGCATCATCTTCTTGTTCATCTTCTGATCAACTTTTGGGTCAGTGCAGCCATTTTCCCCAGTTACACATGAGAGCTCATCGGGCACTTTTGTACAAAATCCATAGTAATCTTGAGAATTCACTAATAATGGATAAGTCGGAAGATTTTCAGGCATAAATTGCACTAAATTTTTTTGAGAAAAATCTAAATATCCCCCTCTATGTAAACCCTGTTGAAGGGTAATTACACCATGAGTAGTCAATAAAGGTAGATCATTCACGTTTGTGTTAAGAGATTTGTGAGAAATCACTTCCTTGCTATCTCCGCCAACATTTGCATTTTGATCGATAAGCTGTGAAGAAAACCCCTTTGTTAACGAAACCAATCCCTTGGAGTTATATAGCGAAGAAGCACTATTGAGATTATCGATTGAACCTCCAACATAGGTCTGAAAGGGGTCAATGCATGTCTCAGAAAAGATATTTTCCGAGGACCCTTTGACGGAAAATTGGTTGAAATGGGGAGGATTCAGAAAGGTGTTATGGTTAGGATGGATCAAGTTGTGAAACAAACTCTTGGGGGAAGAATCCTCAAGGGGAAGAGATAATCCATAGCCAGACTCTGATTTCTCGATAAAATTATTTGAGAATATACCAGAAAGAGATGCAAAATCATCTCTAAAGCTAGTATCAAACTCCATGTAGAGAGAAAGGAGCTCAAGAAAGGAAGGATGGTTTAATGGGAAGAGTAAAAATGGTTTTAATTAGTGAAGAAGAAATTGAGCAAAGGTAGTGATTACGTGGCAAGATATCAACCGTAGGATGAGGTTCTAAGCCAATGGTGGATTTTGCGAGTAATTTGTGACTGTTAAGCTCCCCAAGCTTTGCCCTTAGCGACAAGCAAAGGGACCCAGCAATGATTAGGTCGTTATATGATTTTGTATTTTAGGAAAAATTTCGGACTCCTTAAGGACACGTGGAGGCCATGTGGAGGCCCTTGATTCTTTTGAGGTCCCACTGTTTCAGGCGAATTGCCGTGTTTTCTGATGCTAAAGAACTCATGGCCGTTGGATGTAGCCATCAAAATTATCAGGACAAGATCAGCGGTTTATGATGCGCTATGAGTGGGGACCGCTTTAGTTTGTTGTGAGAGGCGTAAGCCCGAAATTCAATGGATTAACTAATTTTGTGAAGAAATATATATATAAACTAATTTATTTTTCTTTTTTGGCCCAAAAAGAAAACTAACTTGTTAAGAAAGTTTTTTTTTTTTTTTTGTAAAATTTTTGAAGAAAGTTAGTGTAAAATAGAGTCATCTTCTATTTAATAATTTAAATTATTTAATCTGATTTTTTTAATAAT